ATGGAATTTATTAGAATAATAATTTATACCAAAATCCAACAAAAGGGTAAGGCAACAAATAAAAAATAAAGTTTGTGAAACGGAAATATCATGAATTTGTTTTCTACTCAAACTCAATGGTGTTCTCATCGTTCAAGAACTTATGAACAAAAAAATTTCAGATTTCAATAGTCCCAGTTTCTGCAGTCTTTGACACTAACATGGTTGTTGCATACAGAATTGTCTCCCAATATCGAAACAAAATCAATATCTTGAAGGTTCGATTTATCTCTATTTGTTGGTTCTTCCACATTGTTTTTTGCTTCCGTGCGAACAAATTCAACGTGATCAGATCGCAGCTTTTCTATTTTTGAAAAGGTCGGTGATTCATTTACTTTTCTCTTCCCCTTCATCTAATCGACTGTTGAATTAAAAAAAATATATTGCACACAATGTAAAAAAAAATCATGTACATTTAATTGCACATATCAATATGCAAAATGTATTTGGTAATATCAAATGCAAATTGTAATAAGAAACAAAATAATGCGATTTTAAAATCACTAAATAACTAAAGATACATTAGCAAGACAAATGTAATCATTTTGATATGACACCAAGTGCAAATGAAATATATAAAAACAAAAAGTACATTATATATGCAAAATTCAAAATAAACACAAAGTGCAAATACTACTATGCTATCAACAAAATACAAATATACTAACAATAAAGTGCAAAATATATTTCACCATAAACAATACAATCCAAACAAAAAGCAAGAAAATTATAAAAATGTTGCAATTGCCATCAAAAAATAATATAACCAAAAACAACAAAATCCAACAAAAAATAATGTACCAAAAAACGCAAAATCTATACAAAATGTAATGTAACCTGAAACAATAAACTTCAAACGGAAAATCAATGAGCTTCACAATGAAAAAACACACAAAAAATACGAGGGATCAAAAAGGAGTTTTTTGCACTTTGCACCCTTGAATTACACCCTTTTGGCACTTTGCACTCTTAAATTGCAAAATTGGCTGATTGCACCCTTTAAACATAAATTGTTTGGCACTTTGCACCTCAAATCACTTTTGGCTTAGAAAAATTACTTGCAACTTGTTGAAAACCTGGAAGATTGGCAAATTCGTAATGTTCTAATTATCTATCATCTTCCCCCAATTCTTAATCGTCGTTCCACCATTTTTATCTTTCCTCCTATTAATTAAAAAAACCTAAAAATATAGATCCAAACTATTCAATGGGAGCACAAAATTCCTCCCATCATGAAACTAATAGGCACCACCTTTTTGCCACCAAATAAACCTCTCAGCAGCCTTATTTTGTCAGACTATTCAAAAAAAAAATCGAGGGATCGGCCTAAAATTTTCAGTCACATTATTTTTCATACTCAAAAGCAATAAAAAAAAGTGATTTACTATTATGTTTAGTGTTTATACCGATTTACCATTGAAAGAAATGACTTTTTTTTTTTTTGATTAAAGAGACAAAAGATAAAAATGGTGGAACGGTGGTTAAGAATTGAGGGAAGATGATAAATAATAAAAAAAAAATTATAAATTTTCCCATCTTCCAGGTTTTCCAGCAAGTTGCAAGTAAGTTTTCTAAGCTAAAAGTAATTTGGGGTGCAAAGTGCCAAACAATTTATGTTTAAAGGGTGCAAACTGGCAATTTTGCAATTTAAGGGTGCAAAGTGCCAAAATGGTATAATTTAAGGGTGCAAAGGGCCAAAAATCCAATCTAAAAGTACAGAAAACGACAAAATCATTAAAATGTTGCGATCCACATCAGAAACTAATGTAACAAAAAGCAAGAAAATCCAAATAGAAAATAATGTCACACAAAACAGCAAAATCCAAAAAAAAAAGAAAAGAAAAAAAAATGATTTGTGCATAACACGAAAAGAAAAAAAATCTCTAGGGTCGAAATCTTAAAATCCACATCTTTCAATACTCGGAACAAAAACCCCATGGCATTTTGTGAATGAATCGCCAATAAAAACATTAAAAGAAATTGTGCAAGAGAAAATTATCTGTACTTTTCCGACTCCCAAATCGTTTGTTTTTTTTTTTTTTTTTTTTTTTTGTGATTTGCATCTACGAAAACAATGGAGTGTTACATAGTTTGCATCGATGTAAAGGAATTGGGGGAGAGAGTTTAGTTTTGACTTTTTGAAGTTTAACGATCGAGATAAATGCAACCCTATATTTGCTGAATCTGATTTAAGCGAAGAATTTTGAAATATATGAATTTATGAGCAATTTTCCTATTTTTGTTAAAGGACAAATCAATCATATTAAAATGTAGGGGTTATTGTAATATTGGACTTATAACTTATACTATTAACCTATATAATCTAGTAAGGGGACCTATAGAAAATTGCCAAAAAAAAATTGAAGAGCTTAGCAGCATAATTTTGACTGTTGGTTTTCTCTGCCTTTTGAATTTTTGATGTATTTATTCCGTTTGGGAGTATTATCTTATCCAAAATATACGAATAGTGTACTTGCAATGTACGTGAATGTATTTCAGGTAAAAGGAAACGGGTGGGCATGGGAAAGAGCCACGCGACCAGTTGGAAACGTAGGGCCACGCGCCGGGGTCCATTCCATGTGAAACCTTGTAGTTGTAGTAGGGGTTGAGGACTACACCAATTTAGGATTAGCTTATTATTTATTTATTGTGGGCACAAACACATGGCCAACAAATTTTGAGTGTGCCCACTCAATTCATTCATCTTTCTTCCAATAATGTACCTCTAAAGTTGTTTCTTTTTATTTTTAATATTATTAATTTAACATTATAATATTATCATGCCATGACAAGAAAAAAAAAAAAGGATAAAGAGCTATGTAATCATGGTAAATAACAAAGTTAATTAAACTTGCTCCTATCAATCAATTATGTTTTATTGATTAATATATAAATATATATTTTAATTTAATTTATGAATATTTTCATGATGTAAAAGTGCGAAAAGGAGATATATCCGTAAAATATCAAATATTACGATTTGAACGTGCGTTTAATCCCATTTTGCCCATTTCGAAACATTGTAGTATTTTTCACCACCGAAACATCTTTAGAAGTATTTTAAATCCCATAATTTTATATATTTTTCACCCTTGAAATACAATAAATCATTTATGATACACCATAAACTATTTTTTATTAAAATTACCGAGGGCAACTTATCTTTATATTCTTTAGAGTGAATAACAAATCAAAGTGTTAATTGATTATAGTCTTATTGTTCAAATTAATTACTCTTTAATTAATCCTAGTCTTATTAACCACGGACCAGAAATTATTCTTTAATTAATCCTAGTCTTTTGAATTCACTGTTACTTAAATTTGTCACGGTAAAGATGGAGTTTTTACAACCGTTTTCGCTCAAATTATAGTAGTTTCGTTGGACTATCATTGATTTCGATAATTTATAGTTTATTTTAAATTTAGTTAACGTGCTGTTGAGTACCATAATTTTGTAGTTGACTACGGTAATATTTTAGCGGATTCCCAAATTTCAGAAGTAAGTAGAGAGCTGTGAATAGTAAAGAGTATAAATTTGAATTTAAAATAAGACTTAACCCTTCGCCCCTTCCCTAATAAAAAAATAGGCAGGCGATATTTCAAAGAATCCCTATATTATATGTTTGCTTTGAATGTAAGACTTATATTTGACATTTCTTTTGGATGTAAGACTTCAAATGTTGAGAAGTAATGGTTATTTATTTTAAATGCTTGTTTCGGATAAGGATATGTATATGACTAGGGTTTATTGTATTTGATATTTTATAGTTTATTTGTAATACTAATTGTAGCTTTGTGGCTTAATTCACATGAATGTTTGATATTGGTGATGAATAGGTAGTTTTGTGTATACTTTGCATAATATGTACTATAAAAGTTAAATATAAATAATTTAAAAAATAAAAAATCTAGTTGGATTTCGATTGGACCGGTCAAACCGTGACGCAGTTACTTGTCTGATTCAATGTCATGTCCGATGTTCAGAATATTAGATGCAAGAGAAAAGTAAAGAAGAAAGAAAGAAGTAGAGGACTAGATTGTCATTTACGTTCAGAATTCAAACTTGGTACAATTTAAAAACATAAAAAGAAAAGAAAATGAAAATCACTCATAATGTTGATAAAATTAGTATGTGCTCAAATCAACATGTTGATTATGCAAATTGCAGAAAACCTACTCAATAAGCATTGTGTGAAAATAAGATAAAAGATGGACGAAAATTTGAAGTTCGAGAGTGAAAATGGGGGCAAAGTTTAATTACAAATGAGTAATATTGAGTCCACCCTCCACACTTATTATTACATAATCATGAAAAGGATATTGTCCAATATAAAGATTATATAATTATTAATCTAGTATAAAATAATAACATATTACTTTACAGAAATGTTAAATGTCTGTTTCGATTTTACAAATATTGTTTTGCCTTTGCAGAATTTTGACTATTTTATATTCTGATCTTGTCAAAATTCAAAACACACAAAATTGTAGTCTTTTGAGTTAGTTTACTAATCCAACTTATCTAATCCTAGTCGTTCAAGTTGAATTAGAAAACTATTTCAAATAAGTACAAATTCCGTAATTTGAATTTTACCAAATTTAGACTTGAAAAAGGTCAAATTATGTTTTAAGTAAAAACAATATTATTAAAACTAAAACGATATTTATTACTTCCCATTATATTATCATGGATGATTAAAACCCATAAAATTCAATCAATCTTATCAATTCCACAATATTCCTACAGCCATAAGGTTTTTGGTTAGGCAGTTATTTTCATTAATTGTTTTTTTTTTTTGAGAAAAGAAAATCATAAAGTGAAATAACAACGAAAACTGGTATTCAAAGAGAAAACTGTTTAGAAACTGGATACTTAATTCCAATCCTGATCGCATTTTTCTTTTCTAGATATATTTCATGCATAACAACCAAACGAAAAATCGAAATTTAGCCAACACTAATGCAATTTAATTTATAACTTATTTAAGAAAAAATAAACCGAGATTTCCATTTCTCCAAGGCGAAAGCATAAAAAAAAAAAAATTAGAAAAGATTGAAGTCGAACTAGTTGAAAGAAGCACGGGCGTTTCAACTTGTTCATTAACTAAACTGCCTTCCAAAACATGGGAAAATAGGCATTTATATCTAGTTCATATATATGACTGCTATACCTACCCTAGCAGTGCAATATCGAGAAAAACGGATAATAAAATAAAATAAAAATACCTTCAGTTACAACAAAAGACTCAGCAAAATTGGATCTATGTTGATTGATTCAAATTGTCATTGCAATTGCAGTCTGCTGTGGCGGTCTGCAGCCATAGATAATGACTGTATCGAAATCGGGAAGGACTGACCCATCTGCACAATTTCACAACATATTCAAAAGTCAAACATGAAACCTTGAACATTACGCAAAAAGTCAAAATCCAATACAGGTCATGTGATATGTACAAGAAAAGAATTCGCATGTCGACAACCACGGAGACGTAAATAATTCTTTTTCTAAAAATGAAATTGGATGTAGAAATTCATATCCTTGTGAACAAATGCAAACTCAAGATAAAATATACAAAGAATTCAACGATAGACAACTTTGAAAAAATTGCATGGCCATGCAGTTATCGAAGTAATGAGATTGTCAAAAATTGCATGAAATTATAGTTTCTTGGCTTATCGACACAAGCACCATATTGCGCCTAACTACTAAACTTTGTAATTGTTGCCAAAGACATAGTCATATATATCGTTCACATATATTAACAAAACTTGTACTACTGTGATTCCAATTAGATCAAACATTTGTAGGAAGGGGCAAATAAAAAAAAATAAAAAATACGAGCGTGATAATATATGTATAGGCTTACCGTGCTGCAAATGTGGAAGGAGTCTACATATCCAGCATATTTGGAACCTGCAAATAGTACAACAGGAAACGGGAAATATGTCAATAAATGTGCAGCATAAATAATAGAGAATTAAAAAGTTCATCCCAATGACAATTAAAGGAGTTCAAAGACCAAGACTGCTTTGATTCAAATTTGGGAACGAAGATCTTTTCAATCAACTGTAAAATATGTAACGAAAGACGATTTTTTCAATCAACTGATATAAGTCATAAATCTTTAAATTTCAGCAATTGTCATCTCATGCCAAAACAATTATCACTCTGTGCAGCTTAATCCAGACAAACATTTTATGAGAACTTTTGCCCAATTTGTTTGAAACCAAAATGGACACGCAATGAAGTACCAAATGTGCAATCGAAGTCCACTTACTCTTTTTCAAACCAGCAGGTTTGGCAAGCAAAAGAGCATTTACAAAAGCACCAACGTTTTCTTTTAAGGCATCCTCTGGAAAACTAAGCTGCAAATGACAGTTATTAACAAAAAAGGAAGACTTATTACAACATGTTATAAGTGAAGATAATAAATAAACAACGATACAATTAGAGTTACTACAACATGGTACAAGTAAATGAAAAAACTATACCTTTCCGAGTCCAACATGTACAATTGCGGTTTTGTCTTTCTTGAAAAGAACACCTTTCTCCTTAGCTTCTTTGACAGTTCGAAGTATGTCATTCGTCATTGTACCTTTCTGCATTTTTAAAATGCTTGTGAGATGTTACTGCGCCACGCCACCTATTTGAACTGTAAAACGACAAGACGATAATAAACTGACCTTGGCGTCTGGCATTAATTGTTTAAGGTTTCTCGATAACTGCAGAAAAAAAAAACAATAATCAGGTATATAGAGTTGGATACACATGTGCGAAATAACACATCTCGGAAATTCAAAGTCGGAACCTTTTTCACATGTTCCATCATGGACGGAGTCGAAATACACTTGTCGAAATCTACTTTCATTTGACCTGCACATAACCAAAACTAATCTACTGAGCAAACTTAACTATGTAATAATTTCCCAATTTGTAGAAGCCAATGTCGAGAAAACGGTAACAAAGCAAAGAGTTATTTATGAATATATGGTGAAATAAAGAGAATCGCTCATCACCGCTTTTGATATTTTCGACCAGTTCTGGACCACCAACAATATCAGCTCCAGCATCTCGTGCCTCGTCAGCAGCAGCCCCTTCCGCAAAGACAGCTACACGGTATGTCTGATAAAGATTCCATTTATCAGACCAATAACTACAGTAGCAGCAAAACAATTATTGAACTTTTAATTTAACCGAACCATATGTTATACCTTGCCAAAACCGTGTGGAAGGCGCACAAAACCACTCAGTTTCTGCATTTTCAACAAGAGGACGAACGCTTAAATGTAAGTATCATTTACACCAAATAATAAATGATACAACGTTTTAATTTCAGAATTTAATTAATACAGTTGGAAAGCAACATAATCTTTTAAGACATTTAAGTTTGGTGGAATGAAATAAAAACCAATCTCCAAGTTCCCGGTAAAGAAAGGTTTAAAGAAACGGTATAATTCTCATTATGTGGTCCAGAAGCAATAACACCAGATATTCAAAACAATAACACATCGAATGCTCTATCCTCATCACAAATCTGAAATCACTACACAGCATGATAACAACACACTATGTAGAAGTGCCTGATATTTCAAGAAAAACGTTCGACTTTTTAATAAGATTTAGTGCAGATATTTTTCAGATAGCGAACTATCAAGGTTCAGTGTTACATATTTCTCAAATATCTTTAACAAGTATGAAAAAGAAATAGTTTCACTCATTTCATTTGTCAGTTAGTGCAACTCGACAACACCAATTTGTTCGTGTTCAAATTTTTAAAGTAATGATTTTTTTCCATTATAAACAACTACGAAAGAAGCTACACACATACCAGATCAGTTCGACGTAAGTCAGGAGTCATCCTCACATGTGCTTCTAGAGTTTCATCAAAAGTGTGCTTGCCATTAGCCTGTACAATTGCTAAAACGACATTAAAGGAAATCATACTTAGTATCAAGACGAGAAAACAACGTCGGGCCAAACCATTTTGAGCATTATATGGAGGAAAATAACACAATGGAACATTCAGATATACAAGTCGATGCATATGCATAAAAACATTTCATCGAAAGTCCAGCAAATCAATAGACCACACGATCCATGGATTTTCTTAAACTTATTGACGATAGGTTGGATATTTCCCAAGGTTTCCAGACTCGGCACCGAAGGTTCTAGCACAAATAGAAGACTACAAAACCTCACCCATGTTGGTTAGTTGTATCAACTTAACAATGTCAATGAAGCGTAAAAAATATCATTTGAGACGATGAACATATATTTCATAGAACTAGCACATAAAACAACAATTCAACAATATAGCCATTTGAATTGAGGTGTAGAAGAGTATTTCTGAAGGTGTAAGCAGATATTGCAAAGATAAGAAGGAACAAAATATTGCTTTGGACCTAGTTCCAATGTACCTCCGAGTAAGTACCTTTGCCGTATTCTCATCTAAGACACAGATCATTCATATTAACAGTTTAGTGCAATAGGAGTGGAATAGGATCACTTGGAAACCACGCGGAGGTATTTTGAAGATAAAGCATATTGATTAACCAGTAACAAATACGCATGGTCATCGACGTTTCCGAAAATTCTGAAAACCGATTTTTTCTTCGGAATCGGAATCGGAACAACTTTTTTCATTCCGAAATATTCGGAATCGGAATTGAAAGTGATTTTTCACTTCCGAAAAAAAACGGAAATTTTCCAAAGGGGTGGATTCCGATCCGTCCGATTTCCACCCCTAGCTATATTGAACTACAAGAATCAAGCGCACAAATCATCATTTCATATCGCAACAAAACACATGCCAATTAAGATATATGTTGCCAAAATTCTTCTAACAATCACATTCCCAACTGAATCAATATTAAAACTTCTCTTAACGTTTTGTTTATCCTATGCATTGTTTTTTTAACAGAGGGTTCAAAAGAACACCACAATTCACTTTATAATAATAGATCACTGTTTTTATACCAACTTCATCCCAAACAATAAGCTAAGATTTAAGTTCTAAATACTGCAAAACAAAGCCCAAACAATCCTTCATTTTCTAGATTAACCTCACCAAATACCGGAAGATCACAAAACGCAATACAAATTCCACATACTCGAAAACCAAAACATGCTCGAAAGAACCGACCTTGACGAGACGAATAGCCTCGGTGAGATCGTAAATGACCTTGACTTTCTTCTTACTGTTCTCATCACTCTTTTCGAGCTTAATCATCTTCGGAAACGGCAGCTTCTCGTCTTCCTCATGCTGCTCTTTCCCATATCTCAAGACACCCCTCCCTCTGCTGTTCTCAATCCTTCTACTTTCTCTCTCTAACTCCTCATTTCTAACCCCCTTTTCATCTTCTCCCACTTTTATTCGATCCTCAGGCAATGGGGCAACTCGGCTAGGGTAAGAAATTGGGGAAATCAAAGGGGCGTCCTTTATGTACCGCATTTCGTCCCGGGTCCACGACCGGGTTGTTTCCGGGTTTACGAAATCGCCATTATCGGGGGATTGGGTTTGTTGATTTTGTTGATTGGGTTGTTGTGGTGGTGGAGCTCTAGGTTTAGTCGGGTAGGAAATGGGTTGAATTGGAATGGGCGTTCGGATGTTTGAGTTGGGTTCGGCGGCGCTGGATTCGGGGTTTGGAGATGATGGCTGGGGTTCTGTGGAAAAGGGACGGCGGAGGAGGGAGGAGAGGGGGGCGGGCGGTGGTTGATTGGAGAAGCAGCGGCGACCGGTTTCGGAGAGCAAGCGTTTGAAGGCCGCCATTTTTGCGTGCCGGGTTGATTTCTGAGAGTGTTGTCGCAGAGAAGAGAGAGAGAGAGAGAGAGAGAGAGGTAGAGAGAGGGGTTTTACGTGAAGGGTTTTTTCATTTCATTTCTCTTTCTTCCCTTTTCTGTTTTTTTTTTTTTTTTTTCTTTTTTGTAATTGTTTGTAATTAATTAGGAAAAACCAAT